CTTTTGCTTTGCATTCCCAGCTTGGTTAACTGGTGCAAGATGCCTGGCTTTTGGCCTGTCTCAGCTTCTGTCATGTCTTCATGAAGCTTAATAATTCCGAGATTTGGTTTAAAGGTGTGTGACTCCTCCTTTTCCGTGAACACTTAGACATCGTCGTAGGGTTATTAACTGGCCTAATTTCAGTACTGTGTAGGGGATACGGAGGCCTGAGGAGAGGGAAAGAGACAGGGAACGGTTGGTCAGTCAGGAGAGCAGTCAGAACACACACAATTTTGTTAAGTCTGCCATATTGAATGGGTGCGGTTTGCGGTGCCCCAAGACAATTACAGTAGTAACATCAAAGATCACTGATCACAGATCACCATAATAGATAGAAGAATGATGAAGAAGTTGAAATATGTGAGAATCACCAAAATATCATACAGAGAAAGGAAGTGTGAGCGCACGCTGTTGGAAAAATCGTTATCAATGGACTGGCACCAGGGAGCGTTGCCACAAGCCTTCTATTTGTAAAAAACGGAGTTTCTGTGAAGCACAATAAAACAAGCTATGCCTGTACAAGCCAAAGAAAAACACAAAATCAGTGGAGAAGAAAATAAAAATTAGAAAACCAAAGACTCAGCAACATTCTTTTGCCGTTTTAGATTTATCTCTGAGAGCAAGAAAATTGTGGCAGGACACAGGCAATTCATGAAATGTGCTTTTCTAGTGATAAAATTTACCTGGCTCTGTCAGATAAACACATTGGGCATCTTGGTGGGAACTATTGAACTTTAAAAGGGTAATTTTCCAAAAAAAAAAAAAAAAAGGTAAAATCATGACTCTCAAACAGATATAAAATGAACACATCAATCATTCTATTTATTCATTCATTTAGAGACAGAGTCTCACTCTGTCGCCCAGGTTGGAGTTCAGTGGTGTGATCTTGGCTCTCTGCAACTTCTGCCTCCCAGGTATAAGCGATTCTCGTGTCTCAGCCTCCCAAGAAGCTGGGATTACAGGCATGCACCACCAAGCCTGGCTAACTTTTATACTTTTTGTAGAGACTGGGTTTCACCATGTTGGCCAGGCTGGTCTCAAACTCCTGACCTCAACACCTGCCTCGGCCTCCCAGAGTGCTGGGATTATAGCCCCATGCACCCAGCCATTTTATTTAACTCATTAAATAGATGAACCAGACAGATGTTATTACCTGTTCAAAGGAGAATACAAAGAGCAGACAGGTTTACAGATCAGAAATATTGAACTTGCAAATGGATGCAAAACTGGCTTTGTTTTTGTGGTTGGTGTTTAATTTTTTTTCTTTAAAGAAAAAATAAAGACAGGGTTTCACCATGTTGGCCAGGCTGGTCTGGAACTCTTGATCTCAAGTGATCTGCCTGCCTCCATTTCCCAAAGTGCTGAGATTACGGGCATGAGCCACTATGCCTGGCCACAACTAGCTTTTCCATAGAGGTGGACAGTTCATTCCCTAACCGGGTAGAATTCTTTCACAAGTCCACAGACAAGAATCATTTGCATTGCCGTGAGCTCCCTGCAAGTTAACTTTAATATTTACCATAGTCTAGGCCCAGATAAAGGCAAGTATCTTTTAGGATCAGATGACCTCCCAAATTCCAACACTGCATGAAAGGATATCTATTAATTTCTTTTACTTATTTCAAAATATTACATTTCTCCTTACCTTTTAGGGTCTGCTAAAGGAAAAAGTTTCTGGTCATTAACAAGCTCTAAGTTCTGGCCCACTGTTAACCATTCATTCAAAAATATTTTTACTACTACATGTTGTGTTCTTACCACAGCACTAGGTCAAATAAATTTAGGAAATAATGAGTCATGGTCTTTCCTCAGAAGTTATTTACAATCTCATTAGAGAGACAAGACACACAGAAAACAACTAGTCAATTAATTTAATGAACAACTAAATTGTGAGTACAACTAAAAAAACAGGGCAGTATAAAACAGAAATACAGTCGATCTCCATTATTTGTGGATTCCGTATTTGCAAATTTGCCTACTTACTAAAATTTACCTGTAACCTCCATGTATTCTGTAACCCCCATGTACAGAGAAGTGAAAATTTTTAATTGTCCCAAGTGCACATTCCCAGCTGAGGCTGAACAAGGCATCCTCTGCCTTTTTGTTTTAGCTCTCATACTATACCATAAACAATGGCCTCTGTTACCTGGCTGGAGACCAGGCACCATCTTAGCTCATTGCAGCCTCACCCTCTCAGGCTAAGCAATCCTCCCATCTCAAACTCCAGAGTAGCTGGGACTACAGGCAAAAGCCATTATGCCTAGCTAAATTTTGTATTAGCTAGAGGGACAGGGTTTTGCCATGTTGTTCCATCTGGTCTTGAACTCCTGGGCTCAGGCGATCCAGCCACCTTGGCCTCCCACAGTGCTGGGATTACCTCAGGCCAAAGTATCTTTTTCACATTCCATTTAGTGATATGTTTTTCACGTTTTTTACTTTTTGTTGATGTTGCTGTTTAAATGGTCCCCAAGCATAGTGCTGTAGAGTGCTCCTAAGCACAAGAAGGGTGCCATGAGCCTTGCAGGCAGATAGGCTTTGTTGAGGTAAGAATTATAGTGCTTTTTACTGCGTTGAATGTAAATGAATCAACAATATATATTAAAGAAGATATGTTTAAATGGAAACACACGTATAAGAAGATTATGTATTGATAAGTTGATGAAAATGTGACCAGAGGCTTACAAGATCCCAATCCTGTATTTCCCCTAGGAGCAACAATTCAGTATTTACTAATTCAGTGTTTCCAGCAACTTTACAGGACCTAAATACTGCAAATAACAGGAATCAATTACATACTGAGGGAAAGTGTTTTTTTCAAATACACTTGATTTCCTTATAAGCACAAGGGGGAAAAAAGCCTTCCCAAGAAACGACCACTGTTTCAAAGAGCCTGTAAAAGCAGTGCTCCTATCTTCCAGTATCCTTTTCCCTTCTTCTCTCTCCATTTTACTCTTTCTCGTTTTCTCTTTCTGTTTCTTGCAGGTCTCTACTTAAATAATGTCTTCCAACAATCTACAGTCCTAAACTACATTTGATCAAGTTGGACACACAAGACACACATGTACATTTTAAAGTGACAGCTATGTATGGCTGTGCTTCCGCAAAATTAATTTCAAAATTCTGTTGTTCCTCAGTTCCATGGGCACCCAGAGGATACGTTGTTGAGCCTCAGCTGGGAATGTGCACTTTGGCAACTAAAGTGCCACTACTCTGTACACGTATGTAGGGTGCCAGCCCTCAGACATCACTCATGGGTACCCCGAATTCAGTGATGACAAAGGAATGAGAAAAAGACAGGTTAAGAATTCATTAAGTGGGACCAGGGGGCCAGTGCAAAACTGGAGGCTGCAAAGGCCCCGAGCTCTGGTTTTCCACAGTATTTGTTGAATATAATCACTTTTATCTATAGTACAGGTGGTGGGGTGAATTGGTGAAAGGGAGGCTGTGCATCAAACATAAGATTGATAAAAGTGGCAGTTTATGTGAGTTTCTCAAGAGCTAAAAGCTATGCTTATCCATAGGTAATGCGGCTGGTGGGAGCAGGCTTAGCAAGAAGCCTACAAGTCTGGTTACATTCCAGTGCTTCAAGGGAGTGTTACGTCCTTGGGTACTATGTTTAAAATATCAGAGCTGAGGTCACTCTGTAGTTGGGAACATGCTGGCAATAGAGAGGCCTTCCTCCCCAGAGGCCTCCTGTGGCCTTCTGGAGTTCATTGTTTCTGATTTCTTTTACACATTACTTAAAACCAGTTTATGTAGGCACACTGTAAATCCTTCCTCCATTGCTGCTTGCCCAACACACGTATTTCCTCGGCTTGGGCATCCACCTTTCAAATCTCACCAAGTACATAAAAATACTCTAAAATAATAATTTTTTCTCTTAGCACTACACCTGGCACCTGTCAATAGCTGTCTAGCCCTGTTAAGAAAGTTTATTTCAGCCAGGCGCTGTGGCTCTCACCTGTAATCCCAGCACTTTGGGAGGCTGAGGCGGGTGAATCACCTGAGATCAGGAGTTCAAGACCAGACTGACTGACAAGCATGGTGAAACCCCATCTCTTAAAAAAAAAAAAAAAGTTATTTCTGCCGGGCGTGGTGGCTCACGCCTGTAATCCCAGCACTTTCGGAAGCCGAGGCAGGTGGATCACTTGAGGTCAGGAGTTCGAGACCAGCCTTAACAGGGTTAAACATGGCAAAACCCTGTCTCTACTAAAAATACAAAAATTAGCCGGGTGTGGTGGCTCATCCCCTCTACTTTAGAGGCTGAGGCAGGAGAATCGCTTGGACCCGGGAGGCGAAGGTTGCAGTGAGTCGAGATCGTGTCATTGCGCTACATCCTGGGCGACAAGAGCGAAACTCCATCTCAACAACAACAAAAGTTTATGTCTTTCTGTTCCTTTATTTTATTTTATTTTTTAAGGCTAGTGAAGGGAAGCAGTGGGAGTGGAGAAGGAATAAAGAAATCTGTAACTGGATGTGATCAATTAGTTGTAAACACCACTGCACTCGGGCTAGCCTCTGTTTCTTTAAGACGAAGGTCAGGTGTCTTGCCCTCTTCAGAAATGGCTCCTCGCGCTTCCCATGCTCTGCGCATGCTCCCTGAGCAGAATTCGGGATTAAGGCAATTCTTGAACTCTCACTGCGCAAGATGGAGAGTAGGCCGACCAGCGACGAGACTGCACCTCCCAGCATGCCTTGCAGCCGGGCCGGGAGTCGGTACTTCGAGTGATGGGATCCCCTAGGCGCTTTAGGCCGCCGCTTCAGTTATAGAGATTGAGGTGGAACCCCGGGCCTGGGAACTGGACGCACGCAAAGGGGGAAGATGGAAGCCTGGCGCTGTGTGAGGAAGGGCTACGGCCACTGTGTGGTGGGAAGAGGCCGGTCAGTAGGGATTGGGTACTTGGAGGGAGGAGAGAGGGGCGGGCGGCCTCAGGGCGCGGGCGGGTGTCCGGGACTAACCCGGGGCGGGGCAGAGCGGGTTAGGGGAAGGGAGGAAGAGGAAGAGGGTCTGGGCGATGGTGCATCCGGGACGAGCCTCCGGAGACCAAAAGGGATAGGTAAACCCGGCGCGCAGCCAGCTGGACGCTGGGCCGACGAGGTCTGGGGTCTTGGCGCGGAGTTCATGGGCCTCCGGCCAGGCTTGTGCCAGTGGCTTTGGATTCCTGGCCCTCTTCCCCCAACCCAGCCTCCAGACCAGCGCTGGCCTGCTCCCCACACTCCGCAGCACCGTCCCAGGAGCCGATCGTCGGCGGGGAGGCGGCCTCTCCGCAGTAGGTCTCGGCGGGCCTGATTCCCTGGAGGCACGCATGTGGCACAGCCCAGGAGGGGCTTGATTTTTGTTGATGTGTTTGTGTCTCAAACTTTAGTCACTTGTATGTCATCCCTTATTGTTATGGCCAAGTTCTCGTTCCACGTGTATTATTTACTGGAAATTATTCTTTAAATTGACTCGGTTTTTTAAAAAAGCACTTCAGTAGGTGCTGCCCACATTAGCTTCGCCTAGTGTCTGCAGTCTTGGATTTGATGTGCGATTATGTTTCTTCGTAATAAACTAACGTAAACATTTAGATATTGCAATCAAGTAATTTAACTGTGTACACTATGAAACCGACTCGTGTACCACTCACCACGCTTGGGAATCACAGCATGTATTATTGCATAAGTGGTGGGGATTTGGTTTTGACTCCCATAGGCCTGAGATTTGGTGGTAATTTAGTTCAACAGTGTTTCCTGAGTACCAGCTGTATGCCAGGCACTGTGCTAGGCACTTGTGAAGAGAACGGAATTAAAATGAATAAGACGGTTTTGGCCCTGAAGGAGCTTAACATCCTTTTTTTTTTTTTTGAGATGACATCGCTCTGTCGCCCAGGCTGGAGTGCAGTGGCATGATCTCCGCTCACTGCAACCTCCGCCTCCCGGGTTCAAGCAGTTCTCTGCTTCAGCCTCTGGAGTAGCTGGGATTACAGGCGCCTGCCACCATGCCCGGCTAATTTTTGTATTTTTAGTAAAGATGGGATTTCATCATCTTGGCCAGTCTGGTCTTGAACTTGTGACCTCGTGATCCACCCACCTTGGCATCCCAAAGTGTTGGGATTACAGGCGTGAGCCACCACGCCCGGCCTAAGAGCTTAACATCTTAAGAGAGAAAAAAGTCTAAATAATTGTAAATATAGAAAATAACTGTTGTAATACAAGTATTATATTTCAATACAGTGGCTTATTAGGATAGAAAAATGTGCAGACCAACTGCCCAAATTCCTATGGCTTTCAGAGTTATCACAAAGCAGTGTAGAATGCCCATGTTATGCCTTTAAAGATTTACAATTAAGTTGATTTTAAAGAACAACTAGAGAATACGTAAACTGTAAAAATATAAAATTTTAATGCTGTTAAAATGAAAATAACAGCATATAAAGTTAAGTAACAGTAAATGCAAGTTAAACAAAATTCCCCTAGTGATGGGAGGGGACATTACTGATGCTGTAGTAGAAATGTAGCTGTTAAGAATTTTGGAGGAAAGAAGTCCTTCTCTGAATCTTAACAAAGTATAGTGAGAAGAAAATGGTGCTGAAGTGTTTCTTCACAGCCTGAGAGCAACATATCTTTTAAAAATGTTAGTGCCACTTTGGAGATACTTTGGTTGGTGGGTTAAATGGAAGCTGTTGGGTTTGCAGTGTTGGTGCATTCTTAGTAATCCCCATTCTCTTTCATTTCCCCTGAGGAGAATCATGCTTGAAAAAGAATGGAGAAATAAATTATCCACCCATTGATTAGCAAGAGAAGTAGTTTTGTGAATTTATGAAGTTGTGGATAGGCTTTTGATTTCCTAGCTATACAGGCGTTTGGAAAAATCTACCCTTGGTATAAAAAACTTCAGAAACTTGTTATTACTCCAAGTGGGAGGTGAGATTTACTTTAATTGTAGTCTGAGTTCCTTTTTTGATGTTAGTGTAAATATTTGTTGTGTATTTTATTTTTTCATTGAGTTTTTTTTAGGTATTTGAAAGCTACTCTGAATATCATTTTGATAGTTGATTCATCTCTCAGTTGAACGAACTATGGATGCTTTGAGGGGTATGAGGTATTTTGGGAGCCTGGGAGACATCCTGTGTTAAGTATTCAGAATACCTTTCATGGTTTTTTAGGACAAGAGTATTGAGATACTAGTGTTAATAGGTAAATCATGGGTGTTTTCCCCTTCATCCTTCATAGATTTAGGAGTCAGATTTTAAATATTAGACTTTATCTTCTCTTGAGGAAGTAGGTTTAGATTTTTATACCGCAGCTGAACAAAAAGTGGTGCCTCAAGGAGTGTATTTATTTCTTTTAGATACCCCATGTTTTCCCATCACTCGAGGAGTCTGGGCAGAGACTGGACTACACCGTGGGAGAATCTGCAAAGGTGTTGCTGGAACAGACATATTTCTAGTTGTATGAGGTGGCCTGGACATTACTCTCAAGTTCCTTACCCATACTTCAGTAGTAGGCATTTTTCACTAAATTGGAGACCACCCTGTTGGTCTGAGTCTAGAACTCAGTTCCAGTACTGTAACTGGAGACCTGACAACCTGAGCCAGACATCTTTGATTCATCTCTCTAGTTACGTCATGAATGCTGAGGGAGATGAGCCTTCATCAAAACGAAGAAAACACCAAGGTAAAGGTGACATGTATCTTGGTGTAGAAATAGACATAACTGATAGACTAAATTGAAACTTTCATATCTAGTCCTTTAAACCTCCTAAGGTTTTAGAGGTGTTTTGTGTTGATTTTTTAACCAGTAGTTTTATGTTAGAAAGAAATGAATTCTTCCTTAAATGAAGTCTTTATTTTTATCTTCAACTAATTGTGTATTTCTGGCTGTAAAAATAGAAATGAGTCTACAGATAGAATAAGATTGGCAAAGAAAGGAGAAATAGATTACAAAAGTAAGTTTTATTTAAGGATAATTTTTAAATCTAATGTTTTTGAAACAAAGGCCCTTAGACTTCTTAGAAATTGATGGCTCTATGCTTAGAAGACTACAGATCTAAAAAAATCTTAGTGTTTTCATTTTCAAGCCAACATTTTTATGTAAGACAGAAGGACTCATAAATAGAAGCAATCATAAATGAAAGACATGGTCTTATAGAATAAGATTTTCATTTATTAAATCTGTATTTCTCAAATTGGGCTTCTATAGATTCAATCTTTAGAGTTTGTCAGAAGTATTACCTTTTAGAAAGGGAACCACATCTCATTCCATTTTGAGAAACAGTTTTTTTGGAACGTGTTAATCACTTCTATTTTTTCATATTCTTTCTACTCTGAACAAGTCACTAGACTCCCTCTGTGCTGCCGGTCTTACCCTACCACAACCCCGTCTTCTGAAAGTACAAATGAGGTGTCTAGGTAGAATTTGGAATTGTCTTTCTTACTGAAACATAATTTTCAGTGAAGATAATTTCTGTGAAGGTAATTTGAGAGAAGGCTGTGTGGGTGTTAATGTTTAGGAAGCTGACATGAGTTTATGAAAAGAAGACATTCAAGGTGAGTCTTGTCTGGAAGTCAAAGCTAGAAGAATTAGTGCTCTTCAGGTTCCCTCTGGTTTTATTATCAGAAAGTAGTCTACAGGCTTCAGCTGGGTTCCAATCAGCTTTGCTAAGCTAATATTCAAATACATGTGTAACTTATTGCTACACAATTACAAAGAACCTAGTCAGAAAAAAAAAAACCACTTGTAGAAATTCTAACCAAAAGTGAAAATCTACTTGTGTATGGTACTTAACCATAGCATATGGAGATAAACAAGAAATATCTGAATATTTGAGTGAATGAAAGGTGTATTTAGAGGCATTAAAATTAGGTTCCTGAGAACAATCCTAAGATCTATAAATCTCGGGCTGTATGATGATATCAGATTGCTTTTCACTCCTGTATTTGTTCATCAGGTTAGCACACTCCTCTTTTGTTTAACCTCTTATAAATCTGGGATACTCTCAGATGAAGCTGTGGCATAGTGACATAAGCGTTGATGTAGTAACCACTCCCTGCTTTCTTTTCCTCCTCCACCACTAATTATATGAACTTGGACAGCTTACTTAACCTCTTTGCTCCTTGATTTTTTCGTGTAAAATAATGTCTACTTGAAAGTCTGTTGAATGAAATGAGATACTACTGTATGTCAAAGTGCCTAACACACTGTTGGCTTCATAGTAGGTACTCAGAAAATTGTGGTGTTGTTTTCCCTTGATGGATGGGGAATTACATTGACATACTGATAAAGCTTGATTACAACCTGACTCTCTATATGTCCATTCTTCCTAGGTGTTGTGAATAAGGAAAATGCTCTTCGTTAAGCCATATTTGTGACTTCCGATATTTCACTAATACTTTTCAATCAAGAAAACAGCATTGCTAACTTGCCTATCACTTTAAAGTGGTATTTGAAGGATTTGTGTGATACAATTATGACTTTGTAATTAGGCACCCTAGAAACTCGATCAGGCCTATTGCTTACTTTCTTTGATTCATCTGTCTTCTCTGCTGTGATCACCTTGTTCCTCCTGATATGGAAGGTATATAAGCTTTTGTAGTGTGAATTTTTGTTGTGAAGCGTATGAAGGCCAGAGACCTTCCACTCTATCAGTGGTTTTCAAATTGTTTTCCATGGAACCCTCACATTTGAACACATTTCTGTAAGTTTATTAAAAGCAAATGTGGTCATTATAAAATGTGTATTCACCCTATCATCCCAGCCCCAGTCCCGGCATGCCAGGGATTGGTGTTTCATGACATGAAAAGTAATGCAGACGGGTTCAACAAGCTATAGAAGTTTGAAAGCCACTGTATTAACCAGATAATCTAATGGCCCTGGTTGTTTAAAAAATGAAATTGCCAATAGAATTGGTTACAAACTTTCATGACCAGGACAATACAAATCTTAATGCATTTATAGGCCATTACATGTACATGTTTTATAAGGAAATATGAATAAGGTTTTTAGACCTTCATTTTCGTATTTTAATATGGCAGTGACACCAGGGTAGCGCTCCAGCTATGATGATAGCTTATATATTGTTTGCATGACTAGAACCCTTTTCATCTCGTATACATGAGAAGACTTTGATTTCTCTAAAACCATCATAGACAGTCTCCAATTTATGAATGAATTGTGTTCTACACATGATCAGTTCTGTTTTCCCCATAGAAATTGTGTTACAAATCTGAGTGGTTCTGCAGAGCCAGAACAATTAGCCTTAGTTCTGAGCTGTTGGGGGTAGGATTCCCTTCTTTATTGAATGACAGGGAAGGGGATAGTTTCCTTTCCTTTCGTGAGCATAGGACAAGCTCTACGCAAAATTCTTCATAGTTGAAGACTTGAGTTTAGTTTGGTTTTATTTCTTTGCACCTGTTTTTTTTTTTTTTTTTTGAGACAGAGTCTCACCCTTGTTGCCCAGGCTGGAGTGCAGTGGTGCGATCTCGGCTCACTGCAGCCTCTGTCTGCCAGGTTACAGCACCTGCTTCAGCCTCCCAAGTAGCTGGGATTACAGGCACATGCCAGCACGACTGGCTAATTTTTGTATTTTTTAGTAGAGACAGGGTTTCGCCATATTGGCCAGGTTGGTCTTGAACTCCTGACCTCGGGTGATCTGCGCCCGCCTCAGCCTCCTAAAGTGCTGGGATTATAGGCATGAGCCACTGCACCTGGCCTAATCATACTTTAAAATGATTACTTCATTGGCATTTTTACATAGCATATTGATATTTTGGTTATAAATGTATTGTGCAGAAGATTTGCAAAAATATTCCACAGTCCTAACACTCAGAGATAACTACTCTTAAAAATACTGGTGTATTTCTTTTAGTCTTTCTTTTACCCCATGTGTAAGTGTGTAGGATATTTTAACTTCAATTTAATTTTTGATTGGTGAAATTTTAGGCATTGTAATCCCTCGAAGGGAAAACCTTTGCAGGATAGAGGATAGAGGGAGGTATTCTAGGGCTGAAATTTTTAATGTAATTTAATCATACTTGGAAGTCCATTTCCAAATCTGTTTTCCCATGTTCTTCCCATTTTTTGTTTTCTCTTTATTTTGAGCTCATAAATTCTCTAAAAATTGGTTTCTATTCATGGCTTCCATGGCAGTAAGAGCATACTCTTTAATGATAGGGTGTAGGAGACAAGATCAAAGGTGAATATACCCACACACACCACACACATGATAATTTCCAAGTCAGGGACTGCCTATGATTGCAGAATCTCATGTTTTTTTATTCTCCTTTCATCCCTTTTGCAGAATGGATGATGTGTTTGCGGAGTATGAACTATGACACACTCCTGGTTGTTGCATGCTAGGTTCGTCAGTTAGTCATCATTTACTAGCATTCTGTAGCTATGTCATATTTAACTTTTCTTTGTTGTACATAAAAGGATTTCTTTTGTTTATTTTGTTTGCATGTTCCACTCTACTGTTTTCAACACTAAAACTTCTTCCATATATTGCCATTATATACCCTTCTTTCGTGTATAAACTAGAATTCTGAACTGAGGATTGCTTCTGGAACTTAATCATTTTATGATCTTATCCCACTATTAGAGAATAAAACACAATGTAAAATCATCTTATTGAAAAGCCAACTTTGACATACAAATATGTTGTTATAGTTATAAAACTGCCAATCACATCTGTGGCAGAGCCACTTTTTAACCATAGAGAAGTGAAAAGCCACAACCTCTGTATAGTCTTAGCTTTATTAGCACATACTCTCAGCCTCCAAAATGACTTGCAAGATTCTTTTAAATCTGTGTGAAACCTGTTGGTCAGTCCATATATTATGTTGCCTCATTTGTAACCAATTTGGTAACAGTTCTAATTATTCAGGGCTATATTGCCACTTCCCGGGGGAAAAGCATGCTATTTGTTGCTTATGGGAATTTTTAAGAGGCTGAAAAATACATATTTGTGGGAAACTGTATGGTCTTCTTTTGATTGATTCTTTCTATTTGTGCAATATATTTTAACAGGCATGATAAAGCGGAATTGGGAATATATGTGCAGCCATGATAAAGAAAAAACGAAGATCCTAGGAGACAAAAATGTTGATCCCAAATGTGAAGACAGTGAGAACAAGTTTGACTTTTCAGTGATGTCCTATAATATACTTTCACAAGATTTATTGGAAGATAATTCTCACCTTTATAGACATTGCCGGCGGCCAGTATTACACTGGAGTTTTAGGTTTCCCAATATTCTGAAAGAAATTAAACACTTTGATGCAGACGTAAGTGCAAAATATTATTGAAATTCTTCATATCAGAACACGTTGGGTTAAATGTTTCATTTGTGCATTTATGAACTGAATGATTTTATCCATCTTGTTTGATCCACCATACCTGGCTAATTATTTAATTTTTTATAGAAGCAAGAAGGGAATATGTTTAAGAATAATGTGATGGAGTCAGTCTTAATAAGGTGTCATGACTTTCAGAGAGGCATTTGTTAGTGGTTGTTAGTATAAATAATCATCTAACTTTTTAAAAGGGTCCAAAGTATGGGTCAGTTTTGAGACAGAAACTGGCAACCTATTAAGTATTCAGTAAATATTAACTTCGAATTGAAGTTTCAGTAATTCACCCAAAAATGTCACCTACCTCATAGCATTCAAAGAAATCAGCCTCTTAAGACTTGAAAGATAGTACTAATGAACATGTAAAACCAGGAGAAATATCCTGACATGTAAGCTAAGAATATTTCCTTTGGGAAATAATACCTTTGAATACTAAAGGAGCTCCACGTGATTGACGGCCAGAGTTTTGAGATTGATCAAATTTAGAAACATTAATTTAATAGATCTATAACAAGAAAAAAGGATAAGTCTTTTATTTTAATTCTTACCAAGTATGGAATTTTAGAAGCCTGCTTTTAGATATTTTGAGATAAAACCACCAGGAAATTTATGTTTGCGTCTCTGTGTTTTAATTCAAGCTATTTTTTTTCTTCCAAGGTACTTTGTTTGCAAGAAGTTCAAGAAGATCATTATGGAGCAGAGATCAGGCCAAGTTTGGAATCACTGGGTACAATGTAACTTTTTTTTTCCCTCTTTTGAGACAGAGTCAACACTCTGTGGCCCAAGCTGGAGGTCAGTGGCATAGTCATGGCTCACTGCAGCCTCAACCTCCTGGGCTCAAGTGATCCTCTCATCCCAGCTTCCTGAGTAGCTGGGACTAGAGATGTGTACCATCATGCTGGCAATATAACTTTTATCTTAGCCAAATTTACTTTTGAAAATTCTTGTGTCATTAAAATATAACTTGCTAACAAAAATGTGTGGCATATTTAGGCTAAAAATCTTAATTTGAAAAACTAAATTTCAAAAGGTCAGGAAAAGATTGAGGTATTCAACTGGAAAGTTTTATGTTGGTATATAATTTTAATTCAAACAAAACATGTATTAGAATCTCTTAGTAGTTCCCTTTCCTAGGAGTTGTTTGGCCCACCTCTAGACCTATAAGATTCTGAGCTCCATGAGATCAGGGACCATTCTGTCTTGTTCATCATTACAATACCAGTGCCTACCACTGTATACCTAATGGATAAATGCCAAAAACCTGTTTGATAAATAAACGCTTCTAGAAACAAGTTATCTCTCTGGTCACATATCCTTGAGAAATGTGCCTACTTTGCATTTATTCATTCAGCAATTTTTTTTTTTTGAGTGCCTGCTATATACCATGCACTATTCTAAGGCGTGAGGATATAGCATTGGATGAAAAAGATTTTTAAAAATTTCTCCCTCTAGTGGGGTGTACATTCTAGTGGAAAAAGGCTAACCAAATAAAATAGCATATTAAGTAATTACATTTTTCTGGAGAAAAGCAGGAAAGTGGAATGGGGGAGGTTTACATTTTAAACAAAATGATCAGACAAGGTGACATTTGAACAAAGATTTGAAGGAGATAAAGGACTAAGCCATGCCTAGAACATTCTACATAGCAGAAATTGCAAGGGAAAGGCCCTGAGTTTGGAGTGTATTAAGGGAAATGAGGAGGCCAGTGAGGTTGAAATGAAGTGAGGGGAAAGGCGTTATAGGCAAAAAGATCAGGGATGTAGGATGTAGAGAGTGAGAGAATAGATTATTATAAGGCTTTACTGTTTTTACCAGGACTGAGTTTTACTAGGATGGCAGTGGGAGAGTGATAATACACAGTAGCATATCAAGGGCTGAAGTCTGCTCATAAAGAGGCCTGTTAGACCCACTGTCACATGCTTTTTATTCCAATACTTGTTGACATCTTACATTACTAATATTTGCAGAATATAGTTTGGTAAACATTGTTCAAACGTATTAGGTGAGCTGTGTTTTGACAAATATGTAAAATAGTTGTTTTAAATTCATTTGTTTCTTATAGGTTATCACTGTGAATATAAGATGCGGACAGGAAGGAAACCTGATGGCTGTGCTATTTGCTTCAAACATTCCAAATTTTCACTCTTGTCAGTGAACCCAGTGGAATTCTACCGCCCTGATATTTCTCTGTTGGACAGAGACAATGTTGGATTAGTTTTACTCTTACAGCCCAAAATTCCATGTGCTGCCTCTCCTGCGATCTGCGTAGCAAATACGCATCTATTGTATAATCCAAGGCGAGGTGATATTAAGCTGACCCAATTGGCAATGCTACTGGCAGAGATTTCCAGTGTTGCCCACCAGAAAGATGGCAGCTTCTGCCCTATTGTTATGTGTGGTGACTTTAATTCTGTTCCTGGTTCTCCACTATATAGTTTCATAAAGGAAGGAAAATTGAATTATGAAGGACTTGCCATAGGAAAGGTAAGTGCTTGTTTCATTGGTATTAGGAGGTGGACATAGTTGCTCTGCTCATGATTGTGTGAAGTTAGTCATTACACGGCTGTTTGAAAACCTTGGATGATTCAGTACCCTCAGTTTATCAAACTATGATGAATTTCCATGACTTCTTTTTAAATTTTTTTTTTGAGACAGAGTGTCGCTCTGTCGCCCATACTGGAGGCTAGAGAGTATCGTGATCTCAACTCACTGCAACCTCCACCTCCTGGGTTCCAGTGATTCTCTTGCCTTAGCCTCCCGAGAAGCTGGGATTACAAGCACCTGCACCACGCCTGGCTAATTTTTGTATTTTTAGTATCGACGGGGTTTCACCATGTTGGCCAGGCTGGTCTCAAACTCCTTACTTCAAGTGATCCACCCACCTCAGCCTCCCAAAGTACTGGGATTACAGGCGTAAGCCATTGTGCCCGGCCACTTCTGATAAGTAATTATTTTCACTTGGTTGATTTTCATCTTTTTCAACTATCTGTGGCAACGTACTGCTTGGAGGGATTAACAGGCAGCGCCCCCCCCCCTCCCCGCCCCACCAAAAAAAAAGAGGTATTGCTAGACATGGATACTTAAATAAGTAATTATTCACAAGGTGGCAGTATAGAATTTTGAATGCTGGATGTGGGCAAAATAGTCATTTAACATTTATTATATAAGCTTCCCTTGCATAATAAATATTTTATTTAGCTTAGCACAATTTATCTCATGTAATTATTTTTATTGTGCTTTCCTCTCCTTACTTTAGATTATTTGATCTTTAGTATATTTGCCAAAATAAGCTCTCCACCAGTGGAGTTTTGAGTGATAGTTTAAAATATTATAAGAGCTGATCTCTCTTAGTACAGGTGTACCTTGTTTTATTGTGCTTTGCTTTATCAAGCTTCACTGCATTTTACAAAATGGAGGCTTTGTATCAACCCTGCCTTAAGCAGCTCTGTCGGCGCCATTTTTCCAACAGCATGTGCTCAGTTCCTGTCTCTGTCACATTTTGGTAACTCTTGCATTACTCAAACATTTTCATTATTATTATATCTGTTATGTTGATCTAGGATTAGTAATCTTTGATAGTACTGTTATAATGGCTTTGGGGTGTTATGACCTGTACCCATGTAAAATGATGAACTTAATCGATAAATGTGTTCTGACTGCTCCACTAATCATCTCTCTCCCTCTACCTGGGCCTCTGTATTCCCTGAAGCACAACAATATTGAAACTAGGCCAAGTAATAGCCCTGCAGCGCTAAGTGTTCAAGTAAACAGTAAGAGTCACATGTCTCACTTTGAATCAAAAGCTAGAAATGATTAAATTTAGAAGGAAGGCATTTTGAAAGCCAAGACAGGCCAAAAGCTAGGCCTCTAGCACCAAACAGCAAAGTTGCGAATGCAAAGGAAATGTTCTTGAAGAAAATTGAAAGTGCTGCTCCAGTGTGTGAAGGCATAAGAAAGTCAAACAGCCTTATTGCCGATATGGGGAAAGTGCGAGTGTTCTGGATAGAAGGTCAAAGCAGCCACAGCGTCCCCTTCAGTCAAAGCCTAGTCCAGAGCAAGGCCCTACATCTCTTCGATTTTATGAAGACAGAGAGATGAGGAAGCGGCAGGAGACAAGTTAGAAATTAATAGAGGTTAGTTTGTGAGGCTGAAGGAATGAAGCCATCTCCATAACATAACAAGTACAGGGAGAGCAACAAGTGCTGCCACTGTTACAGCTGCAGTAGACTGTCCAGAATGCCGAGAAGATCTAGCTAAGATCAGTGATGAAGGTTGCTAAAACTAAACAATACTTTTTTTTTCTTCTTTTTTTAAGATAGGTTCTTGCTCTGTTTCCCAGGCTGTAGTGCAGTGACATGATCTCAGTTCACTACAACCTTACCTCCTGGGTTCAAACGATTCTGCCTCAGCCTCCCAAGTATCTGGGATTATAGGTGTGTGCCTCCTTGCTGGGCTAATTTTAAAATATTTTTTGGTAGAGATAGGGTTTCACCATGTTGCCCAGGCTGGTCTCGAACTCCCGGGCTTAAGCAATCCTCCTGCCTCTCAAAGTGCTGGGATTACAGGCATGAGCCACTACACCTGGCCAAAAATAGATTTTTAATTTGGATGAAACCACTTTCTATTGCAAGGAGATGTCATCTAGGACTTTCATAGCTAGAAAGAAGTCAGTGCCTGGTTTCAAAGGACAGGCTGACCTTCGTTAGGAGCTAATGTAGGTTGTTACTTTAAAGTCAGCATTTGTTGACCATTCTGAAAATCCTAGGGCACTTAAAAATTATGTTAAATCTACTCTGCCTCTGCTCTGTCAATGGAAAAACAAAGCTTGGGGATGACCATGCATCTGTTAATGGCGCAGAATATTTTAAGCACACTGTTGAGACTACTACTCAGGAAAACAGATTCTTTTCCAAAGATTAGTGTTCATTGACAAGGCACCTAGGTTACCCAGGAGCTCTGATGAAGATGTACAAGGAAATGAATATTGTTTCATGCCTGCTAACACAGCATCTATTCTGCAGCCTATTGAATCAAGGAGTAAGTTTGTACTTACAGGTCCCCTTACTTAAGAGATACACTTCATAGGCTATAGCTGCCATAGAAGTGATTTCTCTGATGGATCTGGGGAAAGTAAATTGAAAACCTGGAGAGGATTCAGCATCCTAAGTGCTATTCAAAACAATTTGTGATTCGTGGGAGGAGGTCAAAATATCGCCATTTAAAGGAGTTTGGAAGAAGTAAATTCCAGCCTTCATGGATGACTTTTAGAGGTTCAAGACTTCAGTGGAGAAAGCAACTGTAGATGTGGTAGAAACAGCAAGAGAACCAGAATTAGAAGTGGAGCCTAAAGAAGTAGCTGAATTGCTTCACTCTCATGATAAAACCTAAATAGGTAAGGAGTTGCTTCTTAGAGACGAGCAAAGTATTTTCTTGAGATGGAATCTACTTCTGATGAAGATGCTATGAACGTTGCTGAAATGACAACAAATGATTTTAAATGTTACATAAATTTAGTTGATAAAACATTGGCAAGGTTTCTGACTTTGAAAAAAAGTTCTACTGTGTATAAAGTGCTGTCAAACAGCATCACATGCTACAGAAAAATCTTTTATGAAAGGAAGCATCAATGGCTGCTGTAAATTTTATTATTGTCTTATTTTAAGAAATTGCCACAGCCAACCCTCAACCTTCCAGCAGCCATCATACTGATCAGCCGGTAGCCATTAATATCTAGTCAAGACCCTCCACCCATAAAAAGATGATGACTAACTGAAGGCTCAGATGATTGTTAGCATATTTAACAATAAAGTATTTTTAAATTAAGGTATGTATTTTCTTAGGCATAATGCTATTGCGTATTTAGTTAACTACAGTATAGTATAAACACAACTTTTATATGCACTGGGAAACCGAAGAAATTATGTGACTTGCTTTATTGAGATACTTTATTGTGGTGGCCTGCAACCAAACTGCAGTGTCTCTGAGTATGCCTGTATTTGATACAGTAAGAACTGTATTACAGGTAGTAAAAATGAATGGGCAGTATTAGTCCAAAGTGATAGATCATTTGTATGTCCAAATTAGAGAACAACATGCATGGGAAAAAGATTGTCATTTTATGTAAATGATAATTGTATTTGAAGAAAAGAAGATTTTATGAAGTCAAATAATCACTTAATAAAATGAATAAAGGGTAATATTTACCACTTTTGGATTACCTTTTATTTAAGACATAAACTTTTCAATTTATAAGCTATTTAAAATCTATTCACTTAAGACACCTGTTGAAATTTTGTTTAGGTATCTGGCCAGGAACAGTCTTCACGGGGACAAAGAATTTTATCTATTCCAATTTGGCCCCCAAACCTAGGTATCTCACAGAACTGTGTGTATGAGGTACAGCAGGTACCAAAAGTAGAAAAGACAGGTAAGTGTTTGTAATACATTTTGGCAGTCTGCTGGGTAATCATGTTCCCTTTGAAGACATAAAACTAAGTTTTTAAAAAGACAGAATCTCAGGGATGAATATTCATATATAAAAATACATAGTTATTCATTCTTTTTCTTAAGACCTCTAAATTTACCTTTTTAAAGTTGAACTTCCAGAATTATCTGTGCATGATTTACTTGCATGTTGCTTTGGAATTGTTTGCATTTTATTTTTCCTAATTATGGAGTCCATCGAAATATATAGATTCCAGAATGAAACATGTAACTAGGCATCTTTCTAACCTAGATAAGTCTTAAATATTGTTTCTAGAGTAAGATGATGCTACTAAGGCAAACTAGAACAAAACTCTATTAATAACATATTTTCCTCTATTCTTACAGATAGTGATCTCACACAAACACAGCTGAAGCAAACAGAGGTCCTAGTGACGGCTGAAAAGTGAGTTCTGAAAAGCAAAAGTAAACATTTGCTAACTTCAGTTGAATAAAAAACTCATTTCTCAAAAATCACTTGGATAAAAAAATGAAGGTGATAATATTCCGTGCTGGTGAAGAGTGCTGGCCCTTAGGTCAAATAGGCCCGAGTTCCAGTCCTGACTCTACTGTGTTTTAGCTGAATGATTTTGGGCAAGAAACTTTACATTTCTTTGTGTATAGTTTGAGTTGTTTTGAGGATTAGATGAGACAAAGCATATAAAGCACAATGTTTGAAACATCGTTAAGTGCCTAGGTAGTGTTAGGAAGGGAAACAGCCTGTCTGTTTCAAAGAGCTCAAATACTCTTTGAAGTTCACATATTTACGCAAAGGTCAAGATCACAGAAAAATATCTTTCAGATATCAAGAGGATCTTTAGTTGTCTTTGATTTACCAAATCTCAAAATAGTCTATAAGAGAATTGATCCAAAAATGAATATGCCAGTTGAAAAGATGATCGTTTTAATTTATCTCTTGAACGATAGGAAAAGATTGTCAGAGGGGTAAAGATGCTGGGATTCTTCATTAAAGAAATATGAATATTTGGGGCTATGGTTGAAAATGGATACATGTCAATACAACAGGACAGAGACTTAAATCTATCTCTGGGAGATGCTTGAAATATCTTGATTGTTTTATATTGTAACTCTTTTACAGTTTTTTGTTTTAACATTTAAATTTAGGAACCAAATTTCATTTTATTTGCTTCTTAATCTTACTTTATTTTGTATACCTTGTTTTGAGAAAATATTATTGCACAAATAAGAACTAGTAAGAATGGAAGCAATTAAAAATTTTTTTAATGAATATTTAAAAATTCGTAATTAAACCTTTCGATCTAGTATAAACTTATTTGAGTATGATTAATGAAGGAGGCTAATCTAACAAATACTTAGTTTGGAGTAATTCTTAAATCTTTTTATAACAATATAGGATATAAAAAAGATACTGGCTGGGCATGTTGGCTTACGCCTGTAATCTCAGCACTTTGGGATGCCAGGGCGGGAGGATTGCTTGAGCCCAGGAGTTTGAGATCGTCCTGGACAACACAGTGAGAACCTGCCTCTGTTTAAAAAAAAAAATAAATTAAAAATAAAACAATCTGACCAGGCACAGTGACTCACACGTGTAATCCCAGAACTTTGGTAGGCTGAGGCCGGTGGATCACCAGGTCAGGAGTTCAAGACCAACCTGGCCAAGATGGTGAAACCCTGTCTCTACTGAAAATACAAAAAAATTAGCCAGGCGTGGTGGCAAGTACCTGTAATCCCAGCTACTCAGGAGGCTGAGGCAGAGAATTGCTTGAACTGGGGAGGTGGAGGTTGCAGTAAGCCAAGATCGTGCCACGGCACTACAGCCTGGACTGGGCGACAGAGCAAGACTCCATCTCAAAATAAATACATAAAAATAAAACAGATATCTTGCCCTTCATGTCTAAAAATTAAAAGAAAAAACATACTTTTTAGCATCTATATATAAATGCAGAGTATTCATATGCATAGCTTATATCTATAAAAGGAAAAATTGATAGTAAAGAGTTTGCAGAAGACCTGTTTGTGTTTATTATTTTTATTTTTGAGAGTCGCTCACTCTGTCATCCAGGATAGAGTGCAGTAGCATGATCTTGGCTCACTGCAGCCTTGACTTCACAGGCACAAGAAATTCTCCTACCTTATTTTCTTAAGTAGCTGGGACTATAGGCATGTGCCACCATGCACAGCTAATTTTCTTGATTTTTGGTGGAGCGTAGAGATGAGGTTTCACTGTGTTGCCTAGACTGGTCTTGAACTCCTGAGCTCAAGCAGTCTTCCCGCCTTGGCCTCTCAAAGTGCTGGGATTACAGGTGTGAGCCACTGCACCTGGCCCTATTTATGTTTAATATTATAAATATAAGTTCTTAAGACATAAAAGTTGCTGAAACTTAGAGGGCATTTTTAAGGATTTACCTTTGTTCTTGACATATGAACACTTTAAAAGCAAGGGAAACATCTTCATTTGTGTATTCTCAGCACCTGAGATAGTACCTAGAACTTAGAAGATGTTTGGTAAATGTTTGTCGTATAAATTTTTTAAATTTTTAAGTATTTTATTTTCCTTCTAGGTATAAAAGATCCTTAAGATTCATAAAGTCTCACTAGAAAATGATATTTAAACCCTTTACTCATAACATTACATGTATTATATTTGTGCATAGGGCAAATGTAATAAACCATTAGAGTATCTCATAAGTCATAGCAAGAAAAATTAGAAAAGAATATGACCTCTCTGTCATCAGAAGTCTGGGGAGTTCCAAATAGCATTCCTGAAGACCACTTTGATTCTCTTTTCTAAAAACACAAACTTGTAAGTCGTTTTAGAATACATGTTCTTTAGTAAGTGGATGCATTCAAACATATTATAAATAATGAAAACACGCATTAGTATGTTAATTATTGAGCTTTTTTTAAATCCACAAGTATGATGGCCTTATTGATGGGTTTTAGATATCACTGCATAAGTAAATAAGTACTAAATTACGATATGGTCTATTTAAATAAATGTCTGGTCTTAATCTAGAAAATAAATGAAAAAGAACTTCAGATGGGAGGAATTCTAGAAGTTACAAAAAACATGGATACTAAACACTCCTTTTTTCCGATTTAGATTGTCTTCAAATTTACAGCACCGCTTCAGCTTGTCATCTGTTTATTCACATTTCTTTCCTGACACTGGAGTTCCAGAAGTGACCACCTGTCACTCCCGAAGTGCCATAACTGTGGATTATATTTTCTACTCTGCAGAAAAGGAAGATGTCGCTGGGCACCCAGGTAAGGAATGCATGTCATCTTAAATTCTGCTAGAGAGCACAGTAGCTAAAACCTCAAGGTTAAAATTAAGAAAGCTCTCTAAACATCAGTTCTAGATCTAGAAGGTAAAAATATTTTGAAATAGACAGATTGGTAATATATTCAAATAAATCAGTTGATTACTTGCATATGAGGGAGGCAATAAAACATATCCAAGCAATTATTACCCATGAATTACATTCTTGATCCTACCCTCCAGTTTAAGTCAGCCTCTGAGTTACAGGTCTTTCATATTGCCCTTTCTTTTTACTTACCATAAATTTACTGCTTTTTCCTGTGACGGAAACTGAATATGTTAATGGTCATCATAGTTTTGTGCTTAAATTTTACTGAGGCGTGCTGCTAGCAACACAGCTTATGCTGTTACGTTGACTCTGAAATACTGGATTTTCCTGAGGAGGAAATGTATATATATGCATATATGGTTTTTAAATATATATTTTTAAAAAATACACACACACACACACTTTTTTTTTTTTTGAGACAGAGTCTCATTGTGTTACCAGGCTGGAATACAGTGACTTGATTCTCGTCTCACTGCAACCTCTGCCTCCCAGGTTCAAGTGATCTTCCCTCCTCAGCTTCCCTAGTAGCTAGGACTACAGGCATAAGCTACCATGTCCGCCTAATTTTTTTATTTTTTGGTAGAGACAGGGTTTCACCATGTTGCCCAGACTGGTCTCTAACTCCTGGGCTCAAGTGATCCACCTGCCTCAGCCTCCCAAAGTGACCTGGATTGCAGGCATGAGCCACCACATTTGGTCAGAAAAATCTATATTGTATTACTAGGTGTTTTCAAAAAGTGAAGGTGCTAAAAAGGTTTTCTTTGTGTGCATCAATGAAAATCAGGGTTTAAACATTAACCAAAGGATTTAAAGTGGAGAAGAAAATGCAGTTTAAGATTATTGGAAGTAAAAAGAAAACTTTGGAATGTGAGCAGCTGTTTTTTTCTTTTCTGATTTTTTTTTTTCATTTTTTTCTCTTCCTTTTTTTTGATGCTTCTTTTCCTTTACCCTTTTCCCTATTATTTGTTCCTCCCTCCTTTCTTCTGGGAATAACCTTATTGGTAACACTCAGAAGATGGCTTACTCATGCCACTAGCACAAGATACTCCTGCTGCTTTGAATTTATAGTAAGGTTTTGATAGTTGTCATGCTGAAGAAGTTCACTAGGTGGCGGGAGAGTGTTACGGATCAGCATTTCAAATCTCTTACCGATAAGAGCCTGTTGTCTTTTCCTCTACTTCTGTGGGTGCTGACTCTCTGGGACTCAATTATACTCATTTATTCTCCACCCACCCTAATCAGCTTTTACCTGTGGCCAGGTGCCTCTGGCTTAATGCAGCTACACAATGGCTGCTGGATGAATTTCTTATGTAGTTGTCAAGCACAAATTTTACTCTTAATATTCTTTTTTTGTTTTGTTTGTTTTTTGGGTTTTTTTGAGATGGAGTCATTCTGTCGCCCAACCTGGAGTGCAGTGGCATAATCTCAGCTCACTGCAGCCTCTGCCTCCCGGGTTCAAGCGATTCTCCTGCCTCAGCCTCCTGGGTAGCTGGGATTACAGATGCCTGCCACCACACCTGGCTAATTTTTGTTGTTTCAGTAGAGATGAGGTTTTACTGTGTTGGCCAGGCTGGTCCCAAACTCCTGACCTTGTGATCCACGAGGTGGATCCTTGGCCTCCCAAAGTGCTGGGATTTCAACGGTGAGCCACTGCTCCTGGCCTCTAAACATTCTTAAGTATTACATTTATGTTTTCTTCTAAAGATTGTTTACAGAGCTTGAAATAGAAAAAATATCTCAAACTGCTGTGTGTTTGGTAATTATAATTAGGTTATAACTCAGTAAAGCTTAAATATTCTGAAAACTGTTTTGTGGTTTTTTAGTCTTTTGGAGAGGCATCAAGTTCTGTGTTTGGAGAAAAGACCTGTATGGTTAATTTACGATAACCTGTTGACAGTTTTACTAAATAGGTATTTGCCTCTTTAATATAGGAGCTGAAGATGCTTTGGTTGGTGGCTTGAAACTTCTAGCTAGACTGTCACTTCTTACAGAGCAAGACTTATGGACTGTTAATGGACTTCCAAATGAAAATAACTCTTCAGATCATCTGCCATTATTGGCAAGGTTCAGACTTGAACTCTGACTCTGCTTTGATCACATACTAATTTTCTTTCCAATTTGTATTGTTTTTAAAAGAATGTAAAGTTCTTAAGTGTATGCATGTTGTTTATTTTTGCACCGTGGAGTTTCTGAAGAGGTTATCTTAGATGCTTTGAAACTCTGTATCAGAAGAAACAACTTTATAACCATTTTTTTTAATAATGAAAAATATTTTCCTGACAACTGAGATCTAAATACTCTTTATTGTAAAAGAGCTGTAAAAGTTTTGTATTCTAAATCCTAGTAAAATTGACAGTGATTTTTAATTATAATGCATCTTCCTTTGTCTGCTTAGTAAAAAGTTTTGTTTCATAATTTTGGCAAGCTCTATAGTAGATCCAGAGTATCTTTGAGCTCTTGCAAGCTACAAGTTGTTTCCTTCCCAGAAGGCTTGATTTCATTAGGAGTACCTTCTACTGAGTTCTCAATAGTTTATCTTAGAAATCCTTGGGTCATTCACAGGTATCCAACCAGCCATCATTTACTTTGTTTTTTGAAGGGGTTTGATAATGCTTTTTAAGTTGTACAGAATGCTTAATCCATCATATTATCGTCCTAAGCCATGTAAATATGCCTGCATTTTGTTGGGGAAATGTTTGGGAACCGTATGTCAGCATAACGTGTAATGCCCCCACTCTTTCACCCTGGAACAGACAGAGATGGGCTTAACAGAGGCAGAGACTGGGGATATGCCTTTGTTTCACTGGCGTTTTAATTTTATTTATTTATTTATTTTTTGAGATGGAGTTTCGCTTTTGTTACCCAGGTTGGAATGCAATGGCGCAATCTCGGCTCACCATAAACCCTGTCTGTATTTTTAGTGCAGACAGGGTTTCACCATGTTGATCAGGCTGGTCTTGAACCCTTGACCTCAGGTGATGGGATTACAGGCGTGAGCCACTGCACCCAGCCGCATTTTTTAAAATTCAGTTTTAAGATCTCTGGGTTAGGGGAGAAATTTTATTTTACTGAACCAGTTCTGTAGAAATTTATTTTATTAGGAAATTTGTCTTTGGAACAAGGTGGCAGCTATAAAATTATTTTTGTTATCCTCAGAAATATGAGGAAGCCTGTGAAACCCTAGTGGGGAGATATTAACTTGAAGACTTAATACTCTGTAAATAGTCATTTAAACTGTTGGTTTTAGTGGTTTTTGTTTCTAAAATGTTTTCTTTTACAGTGATGCATCAGTGTGAGACGATGCTGACACTTTCTATGAAGTGGTTATGAGCAGGTTTAACCCTTTATACAAGTGTTTGAATCAATTTTAAAACTTAAAAAGTGGAAATTCCCTCTTTTGTAGACAGTAGGAACAAGGAATTGTATGCGTTTTTACTAAGTAGTAATTTTACACTGAATTATAAAGTTTTTACAATGAGTTTTATTAATAGAATGCTTCATCTTAAGTTGGAAAACAATAATAGTCTTGAACTAAGTCTTTGTACTAAAGCATTTGCTCTAATTATTTTTTAAAAAACAAACAGGTGAAAGCCTCAAAGAAGGCCTGTGGATTATAAGATTTGCCTAGTAAAAATTGTAATTGAATATGTTTAAATATTTAATTTCTCACTTTTCAGGGGGGTTTACTTTTTTATTTTTTAGATGGAGTCTCATGCCATCACCCAGGCTGGAGTGCAGTGGTGGGATCTTGGCTCGCTGCAACCTCCTCCTCCTGGGTTCAAGCAGTTCTCCTGCCTCAACCTCCCAAGTAGCTGGGGTTACAGGTGTGTGCCATCACACCCAGCTAATTTTTGTATGTTTAGTAGTGATGGGGTTTCGCCATGTTGGGCAGTCTGGTCTTGAACTCCTGACCTGAATTGATCCACCTGCCTCAGTCTCCCAAAGTGGTGGGATTACAGGCATGAGCCACCACACCCGGCCTTTGGGGCATTTTTCATTACAGTATTAACTATAGTTCCAGGATTCCCCACATTTTATAATAATAGTTTGTAGAATATTATATGCCCTAATTAGCAGATACATATATTATCAAATTACAATGGTAGTATAATTATCCCTTTTTAGTATTGGGGGGAAAAAATGAAAATTCATTAGTTAATTACTGCTTTTTGTTGTGTGAATTTATTAACAAATAGCATTATTATATATAGGCCACTGTTAACAAATGAGCATCCCTGAAAACCTCTGTGAAAATTTAATTTTTTATATCCTGATTAATATATTGTGACTTTAGGCCCTAGGCCCAGTTTTCATGTGCTTCACCTTGATAGAGGTTAATCCATAAAATTGCTCTCTACTTTAGCTTATCAAATGAAGTATTATTTTGTGGACTGGAGGCCAAAAAGTCAATGTGAACTTCTCATGGGTTTTTAAATCTCCACTAAAAATAATTATCCATTTGTCTTTACTATTGTTGACCAGAATAGTTGGTAACTCTGCCGGAGTCTGTACTTACCTGCCAAAAACAATTAAATCTGGTTAACTCCTGAAATCAAATCTTTCCAACTCAAGTGTTATTTTTTTTTTTTGAGACGGAGTCTCACTCTGTTGCCAGGCTGGAGTGCAGTGGCTCGATCTTGGCGCACTGCAACCTCTGCCTCCCAGCTTCAAGCAATTCTCCTCCCTCAGCCTCCCAAGTAGTTGGGACTACAGGGGCATGCCACCATACCCGGCTAATTTTTGTATTTTTTAGTAGAGACAGGGTTTCACCATGTTGGCTAGGATAGTCTTGATCTCTTGACCTGGTGATCTGCCTACCTGGGCCTCCCAAAGTGCTGGAATTAGAGGCATGAGCCACCGCACCCAGCCAACTATTCAAGTTTTAAATGGAAAGGCAAACTGTGGAGTAATGAAATTTTGGTTTTACTGTACCTTTTGCTATCAAAATAATATGCATGTTTGGAATCTTGTCTTTATTTGGAATTTAGCTAGTGTCTGCGTTTAACCATTTGCTTTCCTAAAGAAAGTTAGTGATCCAGAGAGTTCAAAGGATTGGGGAAACGGAGGTGTCAAGTCACTTGCACTTTATACCTGTAAGTTATGTAATAAATTATTATACTCCTACTTCTGTGCCTGAAGGTTTTGTGGTAGGTATACTGAGCTGTATAAGCCGTCCTGTAGCCTGTACTAAACTGTTGCATTTAGTACTTTTCAGCCATTTTTACTTAGTGATGCTACAAGATAAGTGAATTAAGATGTGTCAAAATAGAGTAATAGAGGAGTTTTAATAGAGAGCCTGCAGATTGTGAAAGAAGGGTGAAAGAATCATAAATAGGTTCACTAGAATAAGTATATAATCAGAGGACCAAAAAACTCACACCATCTTCCATATTTAGAAGCAAAACAATCCTTAAGTTTCCAAGATGGTTTTATTCAAGTCCCATGCTGTGTTAGAAACATACAAGTGATGAGAAAAACATTAACTTGAAGCATGCAGTTATCTGGCATTCTCTAAAATACCATTATACAAGTTTTCATTTACTTAGAAAAATACCCACTAAAACAATCACAGTTCTTTTTAAAGATTTAAAAAAAATGTATTGGCCAAACAAAGTCCAAGAGATAAACAAAGTTCTGAATTGTATGTCAAAAAAACTGTACAGGGTTGTACATAAAACTATAGCTTACAAAAGCCTCAGGTATAGTAAGAATTCTGAATTAAGATTTCCAAAGTTCTATTTACCAGTATCTATTAATAAAATCCTTATGAAATAATTGACTTAGAAAAAGTGAAATGCTCATGATTTCAGAGTGTATAGAAAATACTAAATATCACTTTCTGAAATAAAGTGTACTCAAAACAGCACAACATATAGTCTAAAATCAAGATTTCTGTCATTCATTTAAACTTTGCATGTATTGCCATGATGGCCTAAACATAAAATTTCACCTGCACTAATAACTTTTTAAAAATGATTTCAAATCACTTCACAGTTTTATATTTTGAATTCTAGCCAGTCTTAAAATCAGCTTTGGGATGGGGTGCATAAAACATGTTGGGGTTTTCTTTCCCTTAATTAAATCATTGCACTAGAATTTAGGGGTTTGGTGCCTTTCCCATATTTTTTAGAAATTAACATATTCCATAGGCAATAAAAGTAGAATGACAACTAAGAACATTTTTTTTTTTTTTGAGACGGAGTTTCGCTCTTTTTACCCGGGCTGGAGTGCAATGGCGCGATCTCGGTTCACTGCAACCCCCGCCTCCTGGGTTCAGGCAATTCTCCTGCCTCAGCCTCCCGAGTAGCTGAGATTACAGGCACGCGCCACCAGGCCCAGCTAATTTTTCTTATATATTTAGTAGAGACGGGGTTTCACCATGTTGACCAGGATGGTCTCGATCTCTTGACCTTTTGATCCACCCGCCTCGGCCTCCCACATTGCTGGGATTACAGGCGTGAGCCACCGCGCCCGGCCAAGAACGTTTTAAATATACTTTCATGTTTGTGTGACTAAACCTTGCTTTGGGAAAATGGGTCTGAAAATCAAGAATCGGGGGTGGAAGAAATTAGCTTACCAATTGAACCATCAAGCCCGTCGGCAATTTTAAGGCTTCTATATCAGCGTATTCCAGAGTTTACATTCCCGTTATTTTCCTCCTTGTGGGAAACAAGCCATGCAACCGTTTGACATTCTGTATTTTAGATGTGACAGGACTTAATACTTGGTAAAAATAAATTCCAACTTTTAGAATGGTTTCAGTGTTATGAGAGTTCTACTTATTAGATGTAATCAAATTTCAGAATGATAAACAGAAGGTACATGGCTAAAACAGTACTGTTTTAGAATAAAATGAAATGATCACTATTTCAAATGTGAATACATCTGGCCAAGAGGCCGCAAATGGGTTTGCTGTGTGAAGATAAATGGATTTTAAACTCTGATAATACTGTTCTTGAAGAGATTAAACAGAATTTTTAACTCTGTGCTGCATTTTTTTTTTTTTTTGAGACAGTCTTGCTCTGTTGCCAAGCTGGAGTGCAGTGGCTCAATCTCGGCTCACTGCAACCGCCACCTCCTGGGTTCAAGTGATTCTTCCGCTTCAGCCTCCTGAGTAGCGGGGACCACAGGCGTGTGCCACCACACCCGGCAAATTTTTGTATTTTTAGTAGAGACAGGGTTTCACCATGGCCAGGATGGTCTCGATCTCTAGACCTCGTGATCCGTCACCCTTGGCCTCCCAAAGTGCTAGGATTACAGGCATGAGCTACGGCGCCCAGCCTGTGCTGCATTTTAATCAAATGAAGATGTATAGTTGGTCTCGTTCATCTCAATGACATTAGACTTCTTTTTTTTAAGAAAACAGTGTTTTTCATTAATAATACTGATTTTTAGGGTGAAGTAAGCCCTTGTGCACATAGCTGAAGGATGAAGTCCTTTTGTTTTCCAGGTCACCTCCAGAAATCTTGTAAAGAATTGGTAAGGACGGTGGCTCAAGCCTGTAATCCCAGCACTTTGGGAGGCCGAGGCGGGCGGATTTACGAGGTCAAGAGATTGAGACCATCCTGGTCAACATGGTGAAACCCGTCTCTACTAAAAATACAAAAAATTAGCTGGGCATGGTGGCACATGCCTGTAATCCCAGCTACTCAGGAGGCTGAGGCAAGGAGAATTGCCTGAACCCAGGAGGCGGAGGTTGTGGTGAGCCAAGATCGCATCATTGCACTCCAGCCTGGGTAACAACAGTGAAACTCCATCTCAAAAAAAAAAAAAAAAAAATTGGTAAAGAATCTCAATAAGCAGATTTTTTTAAACTCCCTTCTTATAAACACCTTCAGTTAAAGCCAGAGGAGTTGCACTAAGACTAAAAAAAACATTTGTTGACTCCCAGACTTCACTTAAGTCGGCCATTTGGTCTCAGGAGTTGGCACTGTTGCTAAGATAAAGCAAATGAAATTGAAGCTGTACTCTTGATATTTATACCATACCAGACTATGCGGGTAGGGCCGTCCTGTGTGGTCTGCAGCCAGAGGTTACACTGTAACTACCATATGCAGGCCAGACATTCGTTCTGTGCTTAGGGACTGAATCACACTATAAGGTGTAACACTGGATTGGAAGACTTTTCCATTAAAAAAAAAAATTCTGCTTTTCTAATTCATTATATTTTCCAATATTTGTTCCTAAAATATCATGAAGTGGTACCTAAAAGCAAGGTACTGGAAGATCATCACAGCATGTCACATTTGGTCTTAATATAAGACATCAGAACGCATCTTTAACATTGAACCTTCCCTTAGTTGGATTCTTTGTGTCCTTCAGGAGAATCAAAGCCTGCCTCAGTTGAAAATCAGATGAAATGTGAACAGAAAGGTTATTTGGTTCTGAAGACCTGCTGATCACTCCTGGTCTCTTTGCCTGAGTGTGTTACTGTCAGAGGTAATCCAGTAGTGCCAAATTTGTGTAATAGTGCATGACCTCTTGTGCTTTTTGCTAGATTCTGCAAAGTTTAAATGTTAGTGACAGAACATAGACCAGCTTCTCAATATGATATTTTTGTTTCGTTTTGAAAAAACAAAAACATCTGAATGCCTTAAAAAAGATTAAGGAGGAAGTAACTCCAAGATCCTGAAAGTGATTCTTGTATTGCCAGAAGAATTTCAGTGCCTTTAGTAAAACGCTTGTGTATAATACCTTAAATCTCATCGTGTGTGTGCACCAGGAAAAACTCCCAGCTTGGGAGATCCCCATGGGAAATACTGGGGAAAGAATACAAATAGAATATAAAAAAACAAAAACCACCGTTAACTTTGCATATCTGATGTCAAAATGCTGAGGTAATATTAACTGCTTTAAAAAAACCCACCCATTTTTGCTTTCTGTTATTGCTGAAAAAGACAGTAATACTGTTTGAGTTACCTTACTATACCAAAAGTTCAAGAGATGATTTCGTGAACATTTACTATTGGTGAGGCATAGTGTTCCAAGCAAGGACAAGAAAGTAGGTAAATGGAAAAACATAAAACAACGGTTATGGTTGTTATCCTTAAGATCTCGAGTGAGGGACGTAGTCCAACCCCAGTGGGGTTTATTACTTCAGCCTTTTCATGGTGCCTCTTAGTGAATTTTTTAAAGCTAATGGTTACCACCCACTCAGATTCTATTTCCAGGTGAATCCTTAAAAATAAAATTCACAAGTTCTTAATAAATAGTTGCAGTTCCTCCTGAAGATGCTGGGTAAAGTGCAGAGAGAAGCACCACAGAAACCCTCTTGCTGGCCGGTATGGCTTGGCTAAATTCGGATTTGATAGCCCACTTCATTCAGAGTGCTCAGATCAGCCACCTTCTTTTCAGGCAGTGCAGGCCTAAGAGTGAACACAGAGATATGGTGGAGAGGGGATGGGACAAAGAAAGGTAATTGAGCACTTTCAAGGGCCTCTCCTCGTTTTTACTAACACTTCTCATATCGGTCTCATCCTCCCATTTCCCCACCCTGCCAGCCACAGCTCGCAACTCTACTTCCTGTTCTCAAATCCACCTTTAAAGGTTTTAAGGAACATTTTTACAGACTTTCAGTGTAGAGTTCAGAAAAGTTTTCAGGGTGTTGAATGAGCTTTTGCAGCTTTAAGCCTGAATTTGGTCACATTGTAACTCTTGAAACCCAATACCCTTGAACCTTGCAAGGGTCTAAAAGTCACATACACTACAGTAGAGCCAACAATCTGAGTCAAATTCTCCTTGAAACGCTGGCTTCCCGGTGTTTGTGCCTTGGAGGAAGCCCAGGAGTCAAAGGTGACTCAGGTTCCCAGGGAGAGGGTTAATGTTCTAGGCTTGAATGTATAAAGTCAAGGTGAATCTTATTATTCATCTGAAAGCAGGTCAGTGTGGAAAATCACTCAGTGGCAAATCATCTCTTCCCTAAAAACGTGCTAAAGTCATTTCCAACATAAAGCTACAACTGAGCAATCATGTAAAGTCACGTGAGAAAGTACCTTAAGCTGGGAATAAAAACATTTGGTAGCACATCATCCGTCTTCAATAAAGACGCATCCTAAATGACTTCTAATATACAACTATGCCTAAACAATCTCACAATTTATCTTACAAGTTTTTTTTTTTGAGGTGGAGTCTCACTCTGTTGCCCAGGCTGGAGTGGAGTGGCATGATCTCAGCTCACTGCAACCTCTGCCTCCTGAGTTGAAGCAATTATCCTGCCTTAGCCTCTCGAGTAGCTTGGATTACAGGCACCTGACACCCCGCTTGGCTAATTTTTGTATTTTTAGTAGAGATAAGATTTCAGCATGTTGGCCAGGCTGGTCTTGAACTCTTGGCCTCAAGTCTGCCTGCCTCAGCCCCCCCAAAGTGCTGGGATTACAGGCATGAGCTACCGCGTGGATTACAGGCCATTAAGAAATGGCCTAACTTTTCCATTTCTTAATAAGCCTCTTCTCACCTTTGATAAGAGAGCACTGAGATCATGAATCAAGTTTAGGATGTTCAATATGGCTAGTGAGCTCTAATTCAAAAGTTTCACATCCATTTTTGCAAGAAAATCAAAGACCTGTTAGTTTATATATGAACCTTGTGTTTATTTTTTTGAGATGGAGTTTTGCGTTTGTTGCCCAGGCTGGAGTGCAATGGTGCAATCTCTGCTCACTGCAACCTCTGCCTGCCGGATTCAAGCAATTCTCCTGACTCAACCTCCTGAGTATCTGGGATTACAGGCGTACCCAACTAATTTTTTATTTTTAGTAGACATGGGGTTTCACCATGTTGGTCAGGCTGGTCTCAAATTCCTGACCTCGAGTGATCCACCCGCCTCGGCCTCCCAAAGTGCTAGGATTACAGGCATGAGCCACCGCGCCCAGCTCAACCTTGTTCTTAAAATATAAAAATTTAAATTTAAAAAAGGCCAGGCCGGGTGCAGTGGCTCATACCTGTAATCCCAGCACTTTGGGAGGCTGAGGCTGGATCAACTTGAGGCCAGAGGTTCAAGACCAGCCTGGCCAGCATGGTGAAACCCCATCTATACTAAAAATACAAAAAATTAGCCGGACATGGTGGTGGACACCTGTAGTCCCAGCTGAGGCAGGAGAATCACTTGAACCTGGTAGACGGAGGTTGCAGTGAGCCAAGATTGTACCACTGCACTCCAGCCTGGGATACAGAGCAAGACGGTCTCAAAAAAAAAAAAAAAAAAAATAGACCAAATGAAAATATTATTGTCAGAAGGTTTCGTAGTTTATGCCCTTGAAAGATTTCCTAAACAGCGAATGGTTTTTCCCTGGCATAAAAGTGGTGCAACTCATTCAATGTTGATAGAACTAGAAATCAACAGCTATCTTGTATCTAAAGCACAGGTCAGTGAATGGCATTAATCTCTGCCACCAATTCCACTACCCCTTTCTCTCTCTCTCTCTCTGAAATGGGAAGGAACAGTCATCAACAGTCTGATCGTCCCCTCTGAAACCTGACTAATTAACTATTCAAGGTGGTCAAGAAATCGTCCCTGACTAGGCACTACATAAATAACTTGTAACCTTACTTCTCTGTTGCATGGGCCTCATTTCTCAGCTTGCCCATGCGCCCTCCTTTATCGGTCAGGAATTATCCTTCTTATTTCTTTGTGTCTCTTCCCATGGAGCCAGGGACACACACATGATGCTAATTAACACCGCCAACTGCCAGTAGAAATCCCAGCACTTCTGTGTGTAGACTCTGGCTCATTGTTTCAGAGCTCAAGGCTTCCAGCCTTCAGGGCATGGTGTCCTCCAGTCTCCGCAGGACCTAGAGATGAGGCGTTCCCTTAAACAAACCCACTGCTACAGGTCTGGAGGAGTGGCCCCCAGAGGACACTATGAGGATCATTCTTGGTTGATAGCAAAAGGAACACACTTTTGCTTGGGGATTGAAACTTAAAATTCTATTCCTACCCTAGCCCTCAGCGCACTAATGTGGAGAGAACCAGGGTTCTTACACACAAGTCAGGTTTAGAGAGTCCGTATGCAGCGTATGCAGTTCGTTCTCTCCTAAAGCCTGAAGTGAAGCCTCGATTTCCTCTCCTTGCCTGAGGTGGTGTCATCTTTACAAATAGCTAATTCGAGACTTTCTCTCTCAAGTAGACTCCCCATAAATTAGTATCAGCCTGACGCAAATGTGGTTAGAAAGGTAAATCACTTCACAGTGTGCCTCACTTTTAGAAAATTCAGCAATCAAAAATTCAGTTTGCCTGCAGGAAAAGGCAAAAGGATAAGCCTGCAGTACCTATATGCATGACGCTTTAGAAAAAGATTAAATGCGGGTCATTTCTTTTTATATCTATATACCTCTCTGATGCCTGGGAATGCGGGTCATTTCTTAGAGCTAGTAAAATATGATTTCCACACTACCTTTCTGGTTTTGTAACTAGGTAGGCATATATTTCTTATCCAAATATAAACTACATTTGTATGAGATGATTTTCATAACTGATGTATCTAACGATCTGTGTGTGGCAGGGTCTATTAGTTGCCCCTCAACATCCACTCTTTCCTTCTTTGGTAAACACCCCTCTCCCATCCCTGATTGTTAGCCAGGTGCACAGCTGCGTTGAATACAAAGTACATCTTCCAGCCGCCCTGTGCCCAGGCACCGCCTCGGACTAAGTTGTAGCCAGTGAGATTTAAATGGAAGTGCAGTGTGGCAGTTAGCAGGACACCTCTTCAAAAGACAACTGGCATGTGCCCTTCATCTTTTTCTTTCCTTTGTTCTTCCTGCTGATGGGAACATGGAAGTGACGGCTGGAGTGGGGACCACAAGATGGTCTGAAAGGCTGGGCACAGTGGCTCATGCCTGTAATCCCAGCACTTTGGGAGGCTGAGGCAAGCAGATCATTTGAGGTCAGGAGTTCAAGACCAGCCTGACCAACATGGCAAAACCTCATTTCTTTTTTTTTTTGAGACGGAGTTTCGCTCTTGTTACCCAGGCTGGAGTGCAATGGCGCGATCTTGGCTCACTGCAACCTCCGCCTCCTGGGTTCAGGCAATTCTCCTGCCTCAGCCTCCTGAGTAGCTGGGATTACAGGCACGTGCCACTGTGCCCAGCTAATTTTTTTTTTGTATTTTTAGTAGAGATTGGGGTTTCACCATGTGTTGACCAGAATGGTCCTGATCTCTTGACCTCGTGATCCACCCGCCTCGGCCTCCCAAAGTGCTGGGATTACAGGCTTGAGCCACCGCGCCCGGCCTGCAAAACCTCATTTCTACTAAAAATACAAAAAAATAGCTGGGTGTGGTGGCACATGCCTGTACTCCCAGCTACTTGGGAGGCTGAGACAGAAGAATCGCTGGAAAGGCGGAGGTTGCAGTGAGCCAAGATCTCACTGCTGCACTCCAGCCTGAGCAACAGAGTGTGACTCTGTCTCAAAAAACAAAAAAAAATGATGATCTCTTAAGATGGCAGAGCAGCAGGAAGCCCCTTTCCACCTCTGTTAAGCTGTTTTTGCATAAAAGTGAATCATGGCCAAGCACAATGGGTCATGCTTGTAGTCCCAGCACTTTGGGAAGCTAAGAAGGGAGGATCACTTGAGCCCAGGAGTTTCAGACCACGGTGAAACCTCATCTCTACAAAAAAAAAAAAAAAAAAAAAAAAACAGACATGGTGGCATGTGCCTGTAGTCCCAGCTACTTGGAAGGCTGAGATGGGAGGATTGCTTGAACCCAGGAGGTGGAGGTTGCAGTGAGCTGAGATCCCACTACTGCACTCCAGCCTGGCCAAAAAAGCAAGACCTATTTCAAAAAAGGGAGAAAAAAGGGAATTATTTTTAAGCTACAACTTACACCGAGCCTTAGCCAAACCTGACCCACTAACAGTGGGTGTGCAGCCAACCTAAGGAAGGTTACTGTGTGGAGTATGGAGACTGTGTTCCTAGCAAGTTCTAACTCGGGAGGAATGACGTCAGGATCATACTCACGTCTAACAGTCAACCTTCTTCCCGTAACCCTGCAAACTACGTGGGACCTAAGCCACGGTAGCTCTTTAGATCTCCTGTGGTCCGAAAATTAAGCAGTGCATGTGCTTAACAAGAGACTCTTGTTCGATGGTCCTTGTAGGACCTACCAGGTCGCTCATCCCAGTTTCTGAAGCTTTCTTACACTAGCTCCCTTCCTGGCCCGGTGTCTTCCTCAACACCAAGTCACACCGCTCCTTCTAAAACTCTAAATATGCTGCCCTTAATGTAGGAAAATAAGACACGGCCGGGTGTGGGGGCTCACGCCTGTAATCCCAGCACTTTGGGAGGCCAAGGCAGACAGGTCACAAGGTCAAGAGATTGAAACCATCTTGGCCAACATGGTAAAACCCATCTCTACTAAAAATACAAAAATCA